CTCCGCATCACCCTCCCCCGATACCTCTCGCCACCAGCGGCTCCTCCTGAGAGTTGTTGTACTGCGTCCTCGGCCTACATGGCAACGATTCCGTTGAAATTGTTGGATCTGGGCTCGTAGGGCCACGATGCCTCGTACACTATACTCGAACCACGCCCCATAGGCCACGGTCACATGAAGGTCGGGCTGGATCCGCAGTCCCAGCGCCACGATCCCTGGTAGATTACACGCTGGACCCGCACTCGCAACGCAACGATCCCTGTAGCTTCCGCTGGATCCGCGCTCCCAGCACTCCCAACGTTTCCACACCTTGCACTGACACGAGATCCACACTCCCGGCGCCGCGACCCCAACCAAATTGCACCGCATTCGTGCTCGGGCCACGATCTCCTCTGAATGACGCCAGGTCCGCGCGCCCAGAGCCACGAACCCTGGCAAGGTGCGCTGCGTCCGGGCTCTCCCTGGGCCTCCCGAGACCTCCGTACTTCTTTTCTCTGTCAAGGACTCAGTGCGGGGGCGAGAGCGGGCACGCAGGGGACTCGTTGTTGCTAGGGGGGCAAGTGTCAATGCCTTCAGACACAAAATGCTTCTGTTGAAGGTTGCAAGGGTCAAAACGGAGGCCTTCCAGACCCTGTAGACATGTGGGCCCGCGAGCCCTGCTTTCTTCCAGTATCACTCCGCTGGCCCTCCCCGAACACAGCTCCTGAGACAAGTTGCACAACTGAAAAAGAACTCTGGGCCCTCTGCAAGACCGAAATGCTTCTGCCGTTTCAGCCCGCCCCCTCACGGCAGAGGCTGGGGCAGTCTGAGGATCAGGTTGGATGAGTCCAGGTTAAACCCGATCAAGGGGTCATCAAGCCAGACTGGACCAGATTAAACCCAATATTCACCCGACTAATTTGGAATCCAGCAGGGCGACGCCCGATTCCGCGAGGCCCGAACCTGATGCCCAGGCCAAGATACTGATAACGCTGCTCCCCGGACCTCTCCCAGGGGTGCGCCCTGACCCGAATTTCGAAGAACATCCAGCCGTGGCGGACGAGCAACGTCATCGGTACCCCAACAAGAGGCCCGAACCTGCAGTCCAGGCGAAGGTAGAAGAAGGAAAAACACTATGAACAGAAACTTTTGGCGCTCCGCGCGGACTTCTTGGACCCGCGCTGGAGCCCCCCGGGCGGCGCCTCCGGCGCCGACCCTGGCGCACTCCGCGCGCCAGGGGGGGGGGGGCCCCAGCGCGGATCCGAGAAATCCGCGCGGAGCGCAGCAAAAATTGTTCACGGCGTTCGTTCCCCTTCGGGACGGTACCGATCTCTCCCGGGCTGCGTCCTGGCCCGAGAGACTCGAAGCACGGGCGGCCGCGGCGCCCGGGGGCTCTCACCATCACGAGCCGCGGCGGCGGAGGGCGGGAGAGCGGGGGGGGGGGGCATCGGGCTGTTGCGGACAGTGGCCGGGGGGCCCTCTGGTGGACCCGGCAAAGTCGGAGATCCGATGTGTCGCCTGCTTCCCCACGTTCTGAGGGGCTCTCTTGAAATTGCGTAGGCGCCTCCGGACCTCCTCTCTTCGACCTCATCGCCCTCTTCCTCCTCCGTTTCACTCAGACGCAGTGTCACTCGTACGCGCACTCAGGCTCACTCATACGCATATTCACTCACACTCAGACTCAATCACACTTAGGCTCACTCACGTCATGATCCCAGACTCACTCATACTGAGACTCCCCTTCTCAAAGACTTACTCAGACTCCCTTACTCAAAGACTTACTCAACACACAAAATAAACATCAGCCTCAATCGCACTCATACTCACTCACACTCCGACTCGCTCACACATAGACTCAGTCAGGCTCAGACTCACTCATACACAGACTCTCGCGCACACGCTCACACTCGGACTCAGTCGCACTCGGATTCACTCAGACCCACTCGCACTCAGACTTGCGACGCACTCGCACTTAGAATAGCAGATTGTGAGGTGTCTCGAGCGAAGCGGTGGTTTCAGCTCACCACTGGGGGAGCCACCAGGGGGCATGTCACAGGCGCGTTCGCGGCCAGATTAGCGGACGATTCAGGCGGTTTGCCTGTTTCGGTGCTCTGAATCGTCTGGCTTGGGAACAGATTGTGGGGATGTCCCGAGCAAAGCGCTGGTTTCGGCACTCCCAGGGGGGAGTCGCCAGTGTGTTTGCACGGGCCTGTTCGCTCACAACTTGTGGGGATGTCTCGGGCGGTGTGCTTGCTTTGGCGCCGCCGGCTCCTCCGCTTTCGGAGCAGATCGTGAGGATGTCTCGAGCGAGGCGTTGGATCCAGCACTTCCAAAGGGGGAGCCTCCCGAAGGTATTTCACGGGCAAGTGCGCGGACAGATTGTTGGGATGTCCCCTGCGGTGTGCTTGTTGAGGCGCTGCCGACTCCTGTGCCTTCTCAGCAGATTGTGATGGTGTCTCAGGAGAGGCACCGGTTTCAGCACCCCAAGGGGGAGCGAGCCGCGAGGGGTACTTCAAATGCCTGTCCACTGCCAGCTTGCGGGGATGTTTTAAACGGTTTGCCTGTTTCGGTGCTCGGAATCGTCTGCTTTCAGAGCACATCGTGTGGATGTCTAGAAAGAGAGACGTTGGTTTCGGCTCTCACACAAGGGGAGACGCCACGGAGTATTTCACGGTCCCGTCCGCAGCCAGATTGCGCGGATGCCTCAGGGGGTTTGGCTGTTTCGGTGCTCAGTCGTTTGCCTTCAGAACAGATTGTGGGGATGTCCTGAGCGAGGCGCTTTCAGTACTCCCAAGGGGGAGCTGCCGTGGTGTTTGCATGGGCCTGTCCGCTGCCGGATTGTGGGGATATCTCAGGCGGTTTGCCTGCGTCGGTGCTCAGCCCTCTGCTTTCGGAGCAGAGTGCGAAGATGTCTCGGGCAATTTGCCGATTCCGCCGCCCCAGGGGGCCCAGATTCTGGGGAGACCTGGGGCGGCTTGCCTGTTTGGTGGCCTGGGCTCCTCAGCTTTCAGAGCAGCTTGTGAGGACGTCTGAGAAGCCGGGCGCCAGCCTCAGCACCCCGAGGGGGGCCGAGACCGTAGGCATGCCTCGGGCGGTCTGCCTGCTTTGAAGGGGCCCTGGGACACAGAAATACATACACACAAATAAAAGGATTCCCCATATTTTCCCGTATGTTCCGGGTTTTCGTCTTCCCGCCCAATTCCCATATTCTCCTATATTTTCTGGGGAGTCGACGATTCATTGTGTCTGTGTGTTTTTTCCCCTCCTGATGCTCGGCGGCCGAGGCTCCTCTGATTGCCGGAGCAGCGCACGAGCAGAGGCCTCGAGCGGGGCGCTGGCCGCAGCGCCCCCCCGCGGGAGCCGTCGGCGGCCCGCTCGCGGGCGGACGGTGTGGGGATAGTCTCGAGCGGCGTGCCCGTCCGGTGGCCCGGGCCCCGTCGGCTGCCAGAGGAGCCGGTGGGGATGTCTCGGGCGAGGCGCTGGTCGTGGCACCCCTACGGGGGGAGCTGCCCGGGGGCGGCTGCACCCGCCCGTCCGCGGCCAGGTTGTAGAGATGTCTCGAGCGACGCGCCTGCTGAGCACGTCCGACTCCTGTCCATGCAGAGCCCCAGGATAACCTCGATGTGAGGACAAGGGCGGCCTTCAGGATTGCGAGTGAAGACGGAGGAAGACGCGAGAGGAAGGAGCAGGGAGGGAGGAGGAAGCGAAGGGACGGGCTACGACCAGGAGCAGGAGGAAAAACAGGGGAGGATACCACCAGGGAGGAAGAAACCTGCAAAGGAGGAGAAGCGAGGCGTGAGGACGGAGGAATAGGGAGCACGCGGCGGAGGAAGGAAGATCACGAAGGAGGACAGAGAAGGACGGTCGCCAGGGAAGCGGAGGAGGAGGAGGAGGACGAAGATGGAGGACGGAGCAGGAAGGAGGACGCAGGATGAAGGAAATGGGAGGAGGGATGAAAAGACGGGATTGGCTACGACGAGGAGGAAGAGCAATGAGAGGGGAGGGGGCCTGCTCACCGGCTGTCTGTCTGTGAGTTGTCGTCGTCGTTGTCCCTCATCCTCGCCACCGTCGTCGTCGTATCCGTCGTCCACACCCAGACACTTTCTGCCAGACGTTCACAACGGGAGGTGCCAGAACATGAGATGCAAACGTGGGGATTTCCGCGTCGAGTAACTGAAAACAAATCGAGCCCCTCAGAAGCCGGGCGCTTTCCTCAAGGACAAGTTTGCATCCTGAGTCGTTATGTGACGGTCCTGGGGCCCGGTGAGGGCCCCTGGCCCCTGGAGGCCGAGAGCGATGCAAAAAGGCAGTCTTGGATCTTTCAGCGTGTCCAAGGTCTGCAGGGGAGCCCAGAGTCGAACCGACAAGCCGGAGCGGCGATCGAAGTTCATGGGATCGGCGGGAATCGGCAGGCGGGGGCGGCGGAAGTCGAGTCGGCAGAAACCGGCAGGCCAATGAGGCCGCTGTGGAGAAACCGGAAGCCAGATCGGAGCCTCAGGGCGAATCGCATCGGAATCGGGATCGATTGGACATCGGGTCGCATCGAATCCGAGGGATCGAAGCGAGTCCTGGGCCCTGCGAACGCGCCCGATCGCCACCGAGGCGGCGGGCGACGGCGGATGGGTCGCCCGTGGTGCGGGCAGTCTGTGCATGTAGATATATACAGACAGAGGTACAAGTATGAGTACATGTACTCGTGTACAGCGTAGTGCACATGTGCCTATAGTTATGTATACGCACATGAATAGTTTGTACATGCGTGTGTGTGTTAAATCACGTGGTTGCGTATACACGTACATATGCGTGTGTCTATACATATCTGCATAGATGCACGTATATGTGTATATGTAAACGTATGTGAGCAGGCACATACATCAGCACACACACATACATATGTGTACACATACACATCCACTGCAACTTTGAGTTTCGATTCGGGCTCCCTTCCCCAGACACCGAAGACGCAGTGGACATCAATATAACTCTTGCCCGCACGTGGACGCGAGCGCGGCGCAGCTCCTCGGGCGCCTCGCCGGAGCCCACCAAGCGCTCGGCGGCCCCTGCGCGGCGCGCCTGGCCGGGCCAGGAGGGGGGGGGAAGAGGTCCGCGCAGCCGCGCCCTGGAAGGGGGGGGGGACACAGGACACCAACGCGACACGTGGCTCTGTGCTGATGGAGGTTGGTTGGATGTAGACGGTGGTCCTTGCTCGCGTGCTTTTTTCACGAAGAGCCTACAGCAGCATTCGGCTCGGGGTTCTCGCCGCGCATCCGGCCCGCGCGCATCCACAGCGCCCTGCGCGCCCACGTGAGCAACTCTCGAGTGGCGGGCCGGAAAAGCACGTGTCAGCACGTGCGTTTTGAGGACGCCGTCGTTACATCGCAGGGGGGGGGGCCACAGGAGGACACCAACGATACGTTGGGTCACCACCCTGGAAGGGGCCCTGGGACACACAAATAAATACACACAAATAAAATCAATCCCCATATTTTCCCATATTTTCTGGGTTTCTGTCTTCCCCCCCACTTCCCATATGTTCCCATATTTTCTGGGGAATCGAGGATTCATTGTGTCTGCGTGTTTTTCCCCTCTTGACCTTCGAGCATCGCACCCCGCGATGCGCTGCGCGCGATCGTCTTCGCGCCCCCGCGCCATGGCGCCGCCCCCTCGGTAGGGGGGCAGCCGCTCTGGCCCGCACCGCGGCGCACGAGGCACGACGGCCTTCGCGCCCCTGCGGGCGACCGAGGCACGCCTTTTTTCTTCTTCAGCTGGCGGCGCGACCGCACAGCCACGGGCGCGGCGGGTGTCCCCACCAGAGGCGGAGGCGAGGGGGGAGGGAGGGGGCGAAAGGGGGGGGATAGCCAAGGGGGGGTTTGAGAATCAGCTCACGTAGCTGGTTTTCCCGGCGCCTCCCGGCGCCGGAGGCGGCTATGTGTCGAGGACTGGGCCCCCTCGGTGAGGCCGAAACCAGCTGCATGCAGCAAATTTCGTAACCACCCCTTTCCCAATCCCCCCCTTTCGCCCGGCCCGAGGAGGGAGGGAGGGGGCGAGGAGGAGCCGGGCGCGCCCCTCAGATGACCGACACGACGGGCGAGCTCCGCGTCGGCGACCCGCACGGCGAGGCGGGACACGGCCAGCGTGCCGGCCACCGCCAGCACGCGAACGCTGCCTGATGCCACCGCCACCGCCACCAGCCAACGTTCTCGTGCCGGTGGTGGCCGACACGCTGGCCGTGTCCGGCCTCGCCGTGCGGGTCGCTGACGCGGAGCTCGCCCGTCGTGTTGGTCGCGTGGTGCACGTCACAGACGGCGTGCTCGCGCCAGTGGTGGTGGGCACTCCGGGCGTGTTTCGCCCCGTCCCGCCACCAGGGCCGCACACCGACCATACGCCCACACCGATCCTGGCCAGGCCCATCACAAGTACGGGATCGGCGGTAGGCTGGCCCTCCTGGCCTGGGCAGGAAGGCGCAGCCACCGGTCCCGAACTCGGGCTCGGCTCGGCCAGGATCGGTGTGGAGGCGTGCAGCCGGTGCCCCCCGGGCGATCGCGCCAGGGGAGGACCGGCTCAAGGGGGGGACGAGTGGACCTTGAATCGGCGATGCGCGGCCCAACAGTCGGCGGAGAAGAAGGAGGAGGAGGAGAAGGAGGAGGAGGAGGAGGAGGAGGAGGAGGAGGAGGGAGGAGGAGGAGGGAGGAGGAGGAGCAGGAGGAGGAGGAGGAGGAGGAGGAGGAGGACACGGAGGAGGAGGAGGAGGGAGAAGGGACGGGCGACCTTGGATCGGCGATGCGCGGCCGAACAGTCGGCGACAGACCCCCGATCCGATCGCAGATCTGCACGCTCCTGGGCGAGGCAGGACTACCGGGCGACCTCTCGGAAATCAGGGGTCGGCTGGGCGCCGGTAGGCCCCCCCCCCGCCCCGTCCGTGAGCCTATCCCCCTCGAAAGTTGCTCCTAAGGGGGGGGTGTGAGGGGGGCCAGGGGGGGGGGGGAAACCAACGCGCGCAAGCCGCTGAAAAGAGTCGCACAGTTGATCCACAGCGATCGGGGGACCCGAGTGGGCCCGCACCAAAGGTCACGGTGGCGAAGGGTTACTCGTACGCGCATGGAGGAAACAACAACTGTACACACGAGATGGGGTGCAGCGCAGACCCAAGAACTCCGCATGGACCGCAAACAAAAATGCTTATGCCGTTGATTGTTCCTGCTCGCGCGCATTCGCCGAAGAAAACTTTTGGTGCGGACCCACTTTGGCCCCCCGATCGCTGAATAAAGCGTGTCGGCAGCAATTTGCGCGCTCGGGTTTGCCCTTCAGGGGCAACGCGAGGGGGGTATGCTCAGGGGGCGATGCATTGACCCCCAACCGACCATTGAGCGCAGTCGAGAGGCGGAGGGGGGCAGCCGCGGTAGCAACCAGCTGGCGGCGAGGCAAGCGTACGGGCTGGCTCCAGCGGAGGTCTGGGCAGCGGACACCTCTCAGGAGAGCGGGGCCGGGCCTGCTAGACTGACGAAGCCCTCCCGGCAGCCCCCTTACCACAACCATCATGGTCCTCAACGTCATCATCACCAACACCATCATCATCAGCATCATCACCATCATCATCGTCACCAACACCACCACCACCATCATCAGCATCATCATCACCATCATCATCATCCTCCTCCTCCTCCTCCTCATCATCATCATCATGATCATCAGCATCAACATCATCATCATCAGCATCAGCATCATCACCACCGTCATCGTCATCGTCATCATCATCAACCCTCCCACCACCATCATCATTATCATCATCATCATCGGCATCATCATTAGCACCAGCATCATCAACATCAGCAGCATAATCATCGTCATCATCATTATCAACATCAACATCAACATCAACATAACCATCATCATCATCATCATCATCATCATCATCATCATCATCATCAACATCGTCATCATCATCACCGTCATAGTCATCATCCGCATCATCATCCTCCTCCTCTTCATCATTATCGACATTATCATCACCACCATCACAATTACCCTCCTCATCTTCCACATCCTCCTCATCCTCATCCTCATCCTCATCCTCATCCTCATAATGCTGGATACGCCTAGGGGGTCAGCACTGTAAGGAGGCAACGACTCCTGACCAACACTACCAAACATTGTGAGCACGCTGTGGCGGGAGCTAGTATTCGCCACGCCGCGGCGCGCTCGCGCTCGACGATACGAGGTGGTCGGCAAACGCACCAACGCGCCAGCGTTAACCCAATCGCGGTACATCCCGATAAGACGCCAGCATCGCCGAGGCGACGTAAATGCGCGGACGTTGCCTGGCTGCCAAATAAATGCCACTGGACAGCTAGCGCAACCCAGAACACGCTCTCAGGCACGCGCGCGGCAACGCTATCAACTGCACGAGAAAAACGGCGTGCGCAATTGCAGATGGCGCGACCATGTCAACAACAACCCCGACGCCAACACCATGGCACAAACAGAATTCGCAGCGCGCGTTAGATGATGTAGACCGTGGAAACCACGTCGGCGAGCCTCACGCGCTGAAAACCTCAACCCAACGAACGCGAGCTATTGGAGACGCGAACACATTGACACCCCAGGATCCTGAAACCGCTGGCCTGTGGCGCCGTACACGCACGCTCCAGCGAACGCCCCCTATTCGGGAAAGACCTCTTCCAAACATTGCCTGCGAACTCATCGCAACGCCACTTCCGCGCGAAGCATCGCTATCGACGCGCCGTTCTCCGTGGAAGCTCATTAGTTTTCTGGGCGCATGTAGCGCGGTGACATGCAATTGCAATCATAGATTCCCCTTCGGTCGTCTGGGCTTGGGCAGGGCGGGGCGCAAGCGGCGAGGGCGTCAGAGTTTGCCCAAGATGCCTCCAAGGTGGTTGCGAAAAGGCCACGGGTATCTCTAGACGGCTTGCAAGATAGCCCGAAACGGTTTAAGATTACCCCCAGCAAGTATCGACGAAGCCTCACGACCACCTCAAAACGGTTCCAAGTCGCCGTACGGTTTCCAGACTGTGCCCTTGCGAGGCCAAACAGATTCCGCCAGCCTGAAATGTCGCAATGACGTTCGTCTTCTCGAATTGTCGTCTCCGGCCTGCTTCTGGGGCCTCATGATGACCCCACGATTGCCCCAGGGAGACCCAGGAGGGGCATAGAGGTGCTGCGAAGCGGCGCCAAGAGCGTCCAGAGATGTTGGAGGACTCACAAAAGGGGTCCAAGAAGTCGGGCCTTCGGTCTCTGACGTTGCGGCGATCGTAAAGGGCGCCCTCCTCTCCTTTGATCGAACTCCTCCGCATACGCCCCGAAGAGGGCTTTCAAAACACCCAGGAGGGCCCCGAGAAGGCCCCGAGAGTGAGAACAGGCACGATATACTTTCCAAGGGCAACAACGGGCCACAATATGCCCACAGGAACCCCCAAGCGGCTCCCAGCGGAATATACGCAAACGCCTTCAAGCTTGACTCACGTCGTCGTCCTCCTCCCCCCTCCCGCCTCCTCCCTCTCGTATTCGTTCTCGTTCATATCAATGTCGTCCCAATCCCCCCCATCCGCCTGTGCCCCCTCCCCCTCCTCCTTGTTTCTCCTCCTCCTGTTCCTCCTCCTCCTCCTCCTCCTCGTCCCTCTCCTCCCCTCCCTCTCCCTACTTCTCTTTCCTCCTCCTCCTCCTCCTCCTCCAGCTCCTCCTCCTCCTCCTGTTCCTCCTGCTTCTTTCCCTCCTCCTCCTCCTCCTCCTTCTCCTCCTCCTCCTCCTTCTCCTCCTCTTCTTCCCCTCCTCCGTCTCCTCCTCCTCCCCCTCTCCCCCTCCTCCTGCACCTCATGCTTCCGCTCCTGCTCTTCGCCTACTGCGTCTCCTGCTCCTGCTGTAGCTCCTCCACCTGCTCCTCCTCCTCCTTCTCTTCCTCTTCTTCCTCCTCCTCCTTCTCCTCCTCCTGCTTCTCCTCCTCTTGCTTCTCTTCCTCCTGCTTCTCCTCCTCCTCCTCCACCTGCTCCTCCTCCTCTTCAACATCATCGCAACGCCCGCGGGCGCCCACAACGCCGCGCCAGCCCGCGCCCACAGCACAAACGCAAGCGTGGCCAGCAGCACGCGGGCGTGGCCAGCGGCGCTATCCTTGGGGGGAGGAGGGGGAGGAGGAGCAGCAACAACACACCGCACGTGGCAGGTCTCCGAATGTAAACAGCCGAGAGTTTAGGCCTCCAGCCCCCCCAATTGGACACCTAGGCTTTGAGGGCCTAACCAACCCAATCAGCCGTCCGCCCCCGCCTCCCCCCCCGCAGAGCGAGCGGGGATGGAGAGGAAAGGAAAAGGAGATGATAGCAGACGGAAAAACGATGGGAACTGGGGAGCAGCGCAGGCGGGGGATAGGAATGGGCCACTACCATCCACTACCCACAGACTGCTCTGGCCTTTGAAGCGTCTGAGGCATGGGACCCATTGAGGGCGCAACTGTGACGGGGTTGATTGATGGCACAACGGCAAGGAGGACGAACGAGGATGAGGTTGTCGAACAGTGATCGTTGAATCGTTCCTGGGTAGTCTGCTGGGTTCTGCGTATGGGACACACGTCCTCTGGGCCCAACTCCCCTGTAGCCCTATCCTGGCGCTGCAGAGTTAGTGCCAACAGAGACTCGTCGCCCCGAGTGAGATCGCCCTCGAGCTCGTGCAAGCAGCCTCACGCGATGGTAGACGCATCGGCACCTTCGCATGCCCATATGTTATGCGGCATCTCGTGGGAGCCTACTATACCGTCTTGTTGGCTGTTGCAAATCGACGCTGATCGACACTACATCTGAACTGTTCCATCGATTACCAAACGCTACCGCGCTGAGGCTCCCTAGAAACGGAATTGCCAGGACATACAAGGCTCCCATTACTTGCTACCGAGCAGGTGGTTGCACTTGCGGCTCAAGCGGTTATGACTGGCTTTGGGTGGAAAACCATTGCTCGTTCCAAGATGCCACCGTCAAGAACGACTGCTACCGTCATTTCACGGAATGCATGGCCCAACATCCGACCTGCATGATCTGCCTGCATGGCCCAACAAACCGATGTATTGCGTGCCTCTGTGGGGGGCACGTCCAACTCGAACATATAGTACAACCAACTTGCAGTGTATGGTTTCACGAACTGCACGGGCAGAACACACCCGCCACGGAGCTTATCCCACCAGCCCTCTGGGCGTAGGTGGTCTAGAGAGCTATCTCTTCCAACCCCCTCCTTCCCCTTCGGGGAAGGGTTTACCCTTCCAGCTACCCTCTCCCCTGGACCTGGAGAGGTGGGTCGCGGGTCGTTCGGGCGTCCAAGATGGCCAAATCGCTCTAGGAGGGCCGCACAGAGCCCAGGATCACTTCCAAGGTGGCCCAAGATAGCCCAAGATGGCTCCAAAATGCTCCAAGAGGACCCAAGACCGCTCAAAGATGGCTCCGAGTCGCCACGGAGCCTCCCCAGGAGGCCGCCAAGAGGCCAACATCTTTCAAACACCTAAGGGAAATCAAGTAATATTGCCTTCTCGCCTTTTTGCTTCCGATGGCCTTCCGAGGCCTCACGACACCTCCAAGAGGGCGAGATGCCCAAGAGAGCCTCTAGGCGGCCCCGAGAGCGCCCAAGAGAGCTCCAAGAGCGCCCCAAGAGGGGCCCCAAGAGGGGCCCAAGAGGCGATTTGTGGGGCTCTCGAGCGGGGTTCGTAATTCGAGCTCCCATCTTTTCTGCCCGATCTCCTCCAAGATGGCCCCAAAAGCGCTCCCAAGGCTCCCAATAGCGCCTCAAGAGGGCCCCAAGAGGCGCCCAGGAGGCCCCAAGAGGCGCCCAAGAGGCCTCCGACAGTCGCCCAAGAGACCCCCTAACAGGTCCCAAGACAGCTCCAAAATGACCTGAAGGCCCCAAGAGAGGCCCAAGAGAGCCCCAACACGGCCCCAAGAGCGCCAGGAGTGTCCCAAGAGCTCTGTGTGCTGCCCACTTCCCTGATCGAGGCAACTCCTCTGGGCGTCGTCTCTGGATGGGCTGCTGGGGTTCCGCGACGAGCCAATAACTGCGTAAGAATTCCGAGCGTGCGCGCCGCCCTTGCGCGGCCGACGCACATCTAGCAGAAGCACGTTGCGGTGGCGCCGGTCCATGGCCCAACGGACCGATAGAGTGTCGGCCTCTGTGGAGGTCTGGTGCCGGAGGCGACTTGCGGTCGATTCCCCTCAAGACCGTTCCTCTGGCCGTGCCCGCGTGTCTCCCATGTATGCGTGGGCTCTTCCTCCGCGAGGCCCTTCTCTGGAAGGTGGTGCAGAGGGCTCGGGGGGCCGCAAGAGGCGGCAGCGAAGGAAGAGAAGAGGAAGGAGAAGGAGAAGGGAACCGTCGTGCAGCGCACAACAAGTGCGGCTTGAGGGAATGGTTTCAATCATGTTGAATGTTCAATCACGCCTGGTTCTGGGACCTTAGGAAGCAAATTTCAGAAATCTTATAACCTCCTCTCTTGCTTTTCTTGCGAATTGAATGCTTCGAGAACCGAGACTGCCGTTTTGAATCCGACATTCTTACGTATGTTGGTCCCAATATTTCTTGATAGTGCACACTGCACTGTTAAATTCAAGATCTTAGCACCTGGCGGAGGGCACCAAACACTCCTGTAGTTGTACATCTCTCGAACACCTCTCTTTCTCTCTCTCTCTCTTTCTCTATCTCTCCATGTCTCTCTCTCTCTCTCTGTCCCTCGATGCATGTACATACATACATATAGATATGTGTATTGCTAGCTGTCTATCTCTCTGTCTCTCTCCCTCTCTCCCTCTCTATCACTCCCCCTCCATCTAAACTCTGTCTCTCACCCGGTATATACATAGACACACACATATATAGACACGCACATACATACACATATGCAGATGTGTGCGCATATGTGTAACTGTATCCCCCCTGTCCGCCACCCCTCTCTCGCTCTCCCCTTCTCAGACGGAGAAGGCCTTCTCAGAAGGCGGCGGGACTTCTCAGAAGGCCTCGGGCCCTGCTCAATCGGCGGGGGAGACCTCCGAGCCGTCTGAGGAGCCCCCCCCCCTTCTGCTTCCCCCCCAGGGCTCGCCGCCGCAAGAGGAGGGAGGGAAGGAAAGACGATGGGAATCCGCAGGGTGCCGATGCGGCTGCCCCCTGGACCCCTCCTGGGGTGCGTTCTGACTCAGGATTCCGGGGCGAATCCAGAGGTGTCAACGAGGGCCGCCCAGGAGGCTCATGATCGGGGAGAACGTGCGAAGGGTACCCGTCTGCAGACGAGCGCGCTCCAAGACTCGCGACAATAACTACTACTCGCAAATGGCCTGGACACGCCGCGGGGGATCTGCGATCAATTGCACCCAAGCGCAGACATAGACATGTGCCTTCCGGACGCCTGCGAGCAGGAGCTTCGCCAGTGGTGGAGCGCGCTCGGTGAAGAGGTATACCTGCTCCGCCCTTGGGTCGACCGAGGGAGCCGAGCGGGGTCCTCCGCGGCGGCGCCGGCGGCCCGCGGGGCCGCGCCCTGCCGAGGCGGCGCGGAGCTGGCGGCGGGAAGCGCCGCCTCGTCGGCGGGGGCGGGGCGGGAGCCCTCTGGGGATCTGCGCGGCGAGGCGCTGGCCCCCGCCGCCGCCGCTCCGCAGAGCAGGCATCGCCCTAAACATGTGGCTTTGCGTTTTTGCTGTGTGTATATATATACATATATATATATATATGGATGTGTACATACATACATACATACATACATATATATATATATATATATATATATATATATATTATTTGTCCATCGTTCCGTCTTCAATCCGCGGCTGCTGCGAAACGAAGCGGCCCAGGAAATCGCCAGAACACCGCAGAGCGGGGGGGGGGTGGGACGCAACGTGTCAGTGCACCTCTGGTCAGGCAGGCGCCTCCACCATGGAAGAGAGCGAGGCAGACGCCGACCCGCCGAGCAGATCAGCGCCACACACGAGGGAATCTACCGCGAGGCCCGCCTCGAGCAGCACGAGCACGAAGGCGCCCCACGGCCAGCATGAGTCGGGAGTGTCCCGGGGGGGGCGGGGCACGAGGGGAGGGGGTCACTCTCGCATGCGCAGTCAAGACGCACAATAAGGATGCGCGGGCTTTGGAAGGCCAGGTCGGCACTCTTCGAGTGGAGTGCGGCCAGCCAGAGTGGCCAAGGATGGGCCGAGGGGGAAAGATACCAAGGTATCCTGGGAAAAATCGCTCATCCTCAATACCCGCTTTGACTGTAGTAGACTCGCGCGGGGCATCGATTGGGAAGGCCGCCCTCTGGCGGGCCGCCACGGGGTCCGATAACCCATGGGACTCGAGGGCACTATTGCGTAGAGGTGGATAGGCGCAGGGGGTGCGTGGCAAGGCGCCTCCCGCCCCTCCCCCGTCGCCGCTGCAGGAGGATGACCCCAACACGGCCCGAGAGGACCCAAGACGGCCCAAGAGGCCCTCAAGACGGCCACAAGAAGGCTCCAAGAGGACCCTCAAGAGGGCATCCAGAGGCAACACACATTGATATGCCTTAGATCTGAGACCGATTTCACCGCTCTCGCCTTCTCGAGCTTCCGACACCCCAAAACAGCCCCAGGTGCATCCGAGAGGCATGAGAGGAAGGTGAATGAGGACAGCATTACCCACCCCAACCCCAGCCAAGACCCCCACTCCAGACCTGGGATTCCAGATCGGGAGTGGGGGTCTTAGCTGGGGGCGGGGGTGGGTTGTGCTGTCCTCAGGTTCGAGTGTTCGGGTATGGCGACCGTGCCGGTTACAAACTCGATGCACTAGATACGCCGCTGCCGTCTGCTGGTCTGCTCGGCTTTACCACTAACTTTGGGTCAAAGCCTCGGGATACGATGACGGACTCGGAAGGCGCATCCCCAAGCTGCCTAGCGAAACACCAGTCCCAGATGCGCTCGTCTTCAGGCGCGCGGGGGAGGGTGCGCCTCGCCGCGTGAAGCTTGGGTGCCACTTGGGGAGCTCAGGACCCCCCGACCACGAGGTTGACGGCGACAACCTCTCAGACGACGTACACATCCATGCCGTCATGCCACTTGGAGGACCCCAGGCCCTCGACATTGCCGAAGCCACGCATCGCGTGTTCGGCGAAGGGCTCGATGACGCACCCCACGAGCAGTCCAATGACGAAGTCCAGGGAGCGGGGGGGCAGGAGGAGGGAAGGGGGATGGGGAAATAGCCAGGAAATCGTCGTCGAACGTAGGAATTGGCATGTGCCGTTGCCGTTCTCGGAGACAGAAGCGACAGAGGGAGGAGGGATGTATGGCAGGGACGAGGAGAGACGGATGAAGGAGGGTCAAAGTTGGAGGTTGGAGGGGGCGAAACGAGGAGGGACGGGGACGGGGAATGGTCCCTCTTCTTCCCTCCCCCTTCTTCCCAGAGGGGGGAGGCGAGGTAGGTAAGGAGCACACCACTGCATAACATTATATCCGCTCTGTTCGGACAAGGCTTTACCCCCCCTCTCCCCTGGGGTCTGCACTGTGTGTGTGGGGGTGGGGAGCAGGTCGGCGCGAGGGGCTGGCTGTGATTCGCGAGGCAGATCTGGCGATGAAGCACCGATCTTCCAGCCCCGTGCGCAGATGCGTATTCCGTTCAAGCTCTTCTGGCCTTGCGCTGCAAGCAGCCGGATGGGGAGAGCATACCACGCAAAACGCGTGACATGAAAGTATAGGAGCTCGCGTGCAGAGCGGGCGGCGGCAGAGAGCAGCGTAAGCAGCGTGCGTGGGACCGCAATCCAGCTGGAATCGAGGAGCGCTCAATTGCCAGACATTTCAGATCTACTGGGTGAGACGTATTTTTCCTTATTGCCCCCCGCCTCGATTCCTCTGGGAACCTGACACTGACCACGAGTGGTTCTTGCGCCGCCTTGTCAACGGCTGTCTGCTAACTCCAAGTCGCCGCCACTGCATGTTCTCCGCCTTTGTCCACGGTGGCCATCCCACGTGTGCATACAGGCCTGGCAATGACTCGCTTCGTCGTCCCCCTCAAAATCGTCGTTGCTGTCGTTCTCTGCCCGACGTTTCACTGCTCTACAGCAGAACCGCCGGACATGTCCTGTAGTGTACTGACATGCGCAGATATCTCTCCCTCTCTCTCCTCCCTCTCCTCTCCTCTCTCTCTCTCTGACTCTTCCTCCCTCTCTGAGCCCTCATGCATCAGCCATCGGGCTACGACGCACAGGATACCGAATAGCCCAACCGGTTCTCAGCACCAGTGCGAGATGCGGCAACTTGCAACGTTGCAAAATCACCCGGGGCTCAACATCATGAACGCCATGATTTTGTCATCACGGGCTCTCCGAGCCGAGACCCGCTCGGCTGCTCCGGGGGATCTGCCCGAAGACGCCAAGCGCCCCCCCTCGGCCCGAGATGCAAGGCGCTGCCACGCCCGCGCCAGGCTCCCTCGGCTCCTCGGTGCACTGGAGGCAACAGCAGCGACCGCGCTGCCCGAGGCCATGGCCTCGTGAAGGACACAGCTGATCCGCGCGTGCGAAGCCAGGACCTCTCGTAAGCATAAGCGGCACAAACAAACCGGAACATGCTTGCCAGCGCGGGCCCCAAGCAGTGTCAGATTGCACAGTGGATGCTACGTGGTGCAAATACATACATATCTGTGTAGATTTATAATGATATGTATTCTTATATATATATATATATATATGTGTGTAGGAAAGTCTATGTATACACCTCCTGATGGCCGTCGTCGGCACCGTCGCCCTTCTCCTCTCTCTCCCCTCGCGCATGCCCGAGGATCAGAAGGAGACGCGGTAAGGATGCAATGCCTTGGTACGCTCATGGTGGAGCCGAAGTTGGAAGTCCATAGCTAAGAGGTAGGGCGGCCGACGCCGAAACTCATCCAAACCAAGCACAGCCTGCACCGATCACCATCAATTTCGAATGTCAATGTACGCACCAGCTGCCCCAACAAAAGAGCTGCCGCTACTCGCATGCAGCGAAGAATGCAAGCCTTCGGCGCCACCCAAGCAGCTGGCAACTCGAACTCCTTGGCAAGGATGAGGGAGGCATATGCGGGGAGCTGGCGTGACGCAGGGACAAGACACAATGACTCCGTCTCACCTTGCTGGTTCTCCTCCTCCTCCCTTCTCTGGTCCTAACCGTTGGAGGGTATCAACGCGCACTGGCAAGGAGAGGGACAGCGAGTGTTTGTTATCACATAAACATATGAAGAGAGGCAGAGCGAGAGAGCGAGAGAGAGAGAGAGAGACAGCGAGAGATTGGAATGTGTGTATATACATATATACACATATCCGACGGCTCTGTCGGCGTGTGGCAGGGGCTGATCCGTCGCCATCGCCGTCGCTGCCGCCATCGCGTCGCCGCCACCTTCCCCAGAGTCCGTCGCCGCTCCACCCCCCTTTCCTTGGGCCCTCGTCCTCAAGCACGCCAGCCAAAGCGAAATACACCAGCTCATCCACACCGAAGTTCTGCAACGTTGTCATTGAGTCGAAGGCCTTCCCATTGATCCCCTCCCCGCGGAAGGGGGGGGGGCCCGGGGGGGGTGCTCCCAAGGGAGGGCTCCTGGGGGGGTGGTCCCGGGGGTGGTCCCCGGGGGCGGTCCCGGGTCACAATGCCAACCCTCCTGGGGCGTGTCGTGGGCGCGTCGAGGGCCGAAGCCTCAAGGGTCGGCGACACCGGCCGTAAGGCCTTAGCAATATACATATATATATATATAATATATATACACATAAATAGGTTTATGCATAGATATGTATACAAATATGAATAGATACATATACCTGCATACATATAGATATATATATCTATATATACATGCATAAAACCATTTATGTATATATATATACATATATCGAGAGAGAGGTGGGGGAGAGTGGGAGATCTGATGATGGTAGCGATGTGTGGAGGGAACTGCAAGATGGGGGACAGGAGACAGACAGGAGATGAAGAGAGGAGGGGGGGCGCAGGGGTCGGGGATCGACGGCAGGAAGGCGAGAGAGGGAGAAAGAGAGAGAGAGAGAACGAGAAAAGCGATAAATAAATAGATATATGGAGAGATAGGGGGAGAGAGGGAGGAAGAGAGACAGAAAGAGAGAGAGAGAGAGAGACAGAGAGCAACATAGGGCGAGAAACAACCACAGATGTAGAGAGAAACATGTAGAACGAAAAAACGGGAGAGAGAGAGAGAGAGAGAGAGATAGATAGAGAGAGACCTATAACTAGAGAAACCAAAGCGAGCGAGAGAGAGAGAGAGAGAGAGACCGAGAGGGAACGCGATATCGAAAGATGCGAATAGATAAGGATACTGAGGGAGAGTGAGGAACAACATACGATGAACAGTGATTTCCACATGCGTATATCTGTATATAAATGTAGGCAGAGAGAGAGGGGGGAGATAGACAAAGAGAAAAAGAGAAAGACAGAGAGAGAGAGCGGGCAGCGGGACAGGCCAGAGGGAGAGAGCGACACAGAAAGAGAGAGAGAGAGAGAGAGATATGACTGTACACATATTTGTATAGGGAGAGGGGGAAGCCATTATCATGTATAGAGCGGAGTAGGAATAGAGAGAGAGAGAGCAAGCAAGAGAGAGAGAGAGAGAGAAAGCGTGTGAGAGAGAGAGAGCGAGAGAGCAACCCAGAGATACCATTCGTCATCAGTAGTATCGTCTTTTCCTGCTGATGACCGACCTCCTCATCCTCTGGCTCTTGGTTATTCTGTTCCTGTCGCCCTTATTCTCCTGGTCTGATTCCTGCTTCTGCTGCCGCTGCTGCTGACGGCGCTGCGTGCTGCCGAGACTGCTGCTGCTGCTGCTGCTGCTGCTGCTGCTGCTCCTGGAATGGTCATTCTCGTCTCCTGCTGGTGGTGTGTTCGTCCTTCTCGCCTCCTGCTGCGGGTATCAACGTTGACGGTTCCTGCGGGCCACTGTCCTCGATCAAGAGCGCCTCGTCAGAGAGCTCCACGAGGGTCTCCTGAGGGGCAGTGCCGCGAGCAGCGCTCGCGAGCGGGGGGGGACGAGGAGGGTGAGGAGAGTGACGAGGATCATGCGGACGAGGAGTCGGGGGAAGACGAGATCGAGGTCAGTGATACGATCATGAGGCAACTGGAGATTCTTGAGGTCATGGGTTCGCATCGTATGGGCGTTCATCGGCGGTGCGCGAGGGCTGGCGCTCGGCCGCTGCCAGGCGACCCAGCACATTCGATGCCCTCGTGGCCCTTGACCTCCTCCTCACCAGGTATTGCCCTTCAACCAAGCGGTGGCGACGGTGACGGTGCCCGCAAGAGTGCCCACTTGGGGGTACCGAAACGGTGTGGAGACAAACCGCGTGGTGACCTCGGAATCCCCGAAGACCTCACCGCACTGCCCGTCACCACACGACTTTGGGACGGCGAGACGTCCTCGGAGAACGACCCAAGTCCCAAAACCGTGCGGTCACCCCCAATCACCGGCGACCCACCACACGGATTGCGGGTGCACATGCCGTACAATAGGCTGACCAAGTCAAGGCCACTCTGCATCTGCCTTTGACTAGAGCACTGGGGGTGCTGCCACGTGCGCTGGCGCACCTGTCGGCGCCCAGCGCACGGCGCAATCTGCGCGCGTCGTGCACGTGACGCACCTGGCGCAGCTGGAGCACATGGGACAGTTGGCTCTCCAGGCGCGCCTGGCAAGCTTGAGCCCCTGAATCGCCTGGCGCACGTGGTGCGCGTGGCGCACCTGGAACGCGTGGCGCACCTCGCGAACGTCGCGGATCTGGCGTCTGTATCGGGTCGCGATGGTCATCTTTCCGACAGCCACCCCTGCTTATGCTGAGTCCCTGGTGTGTTTTATATGTATAGAAAGCGGGGAGAGTGAACGACACAGCTTGGGGCCTACCAATTGGGAACTTGGCCCCTCACTCGACCCCTCCGCTGGTTCTGGCGGGGGGGGGCGCAACACATTAGAACGTGCGATAGGTCAAAGATGGCTCTGTCCAAGATTTCCTCCAAGATGGGGTAAGATAACGAGTGCAAGACGACTTAGGAATGGGCCGTTTGCGGCTGAAGAGGCTGAGGTGCTGGAGATGATTGGTCGATCCCGTTTGCTTCAACTCGCAAGTAAGCCGACAAGGCTTGAATCTGTTGTTTTTGACGACGGTGCACGCGATGACGAATAAGCTGCAACCACGTATTCTTCTGAGCTTCGGGATCTTCTGCACTCGTTGTCAGAAAAACACCTACGGATCAAAATGAGGACTTGAACAATTCCGTCATCCGTGTGGCACGTCTGAAGTTCCCTGTGCGGCATCACATCACAACAGACATTGCCTCTGAACAGCGGTGCGATGACATGATAGATTAAGCGCTGTGATCGAAAGCGATACGCCCAACGATCCACAGGGCTGGAAAAGGCAATGACAGCGCGCTGGCCGAACCACACTCCTGCCGACCATTCAGAACATGTTACCAAATGCGGAAAGGCGGACGAGGACGAAGGAGCAAACATCGCTTGAATGACATGCACGAGGAGAGGCGAGGAACAAGGTCAAGGAAAAGACCGCCAACCACCGGATCCACGATACTCGGTTTTTGTGAGTCCAGATATTGGTGGACATAGCCACCCGGCCCAGCGAGGAAACCATATCAACCAAGATCTGGCACGGCTTTCCGAAACTGAGTTTGTATGCAGCACATCCACCATACGTTGCGCGCACAGCCTGAGCTGAAAAGGAGGAACTGGCAGCCTGGCCCTCCAATGCACTCACGAGCCTTACGTCCCCCACTCACGCGACGGATGGGGCACTCGGCTGCAGACCCTGCAATGGTAGCGACTCCGCTGAACGAACCCCTGACGGAATAATTCAAGATCTGTGCACTCGTACTGCCATCCCTGATCACATGCCATGCATATTATATGGATGCGCGATGCTTACGCTGTAATTGCGTGAATTTCTAAGCGCAAAGAGCACATACACATTCCAAATGAAACAACGCACGAGTGTACCTTCCCGCATAAACGTGCTGGCGTGCAATTGTGGTACTTCATTGCCGTACTGAGTGCAAGCGAACCGACTCCAAGACCAACATGCTTCCAACCATGAATAGAACAACGCTACGTCATCATCAAATTGGTATTCCGTCTCCCGTGCTTGCCATTGCCTAATTTCTATTTGCGGAACTGGGGGAATCTCTCATGTCACCGCTTCGGCTTCTCGAGCGACCGACAAGGCTCAGCCAAGAGAAGTACACTCCTTCAAGCGGGACGTGCTCAGCACCTGCGCAATCGCCGACCGTACGACTTGGCACGACTTGGCCAAATGAAGCCAAGCGATAAGTACATACTTCTCGTGCATGGTCAAGACAGGGGCCAAGAATGCTGAGGGCCATGGACGACAGATCAATAACATGAACAACACCCGCGAGACAATATCAGATCTCAGACTGGAGCGAAAGCAGAGACGAGAGAACTAGTGGAACACCCTATGTATATGGAGATGGGAAACAGTGATGAAGGATCGATATATACATATATGTATATACACATTCATGTATAACTACATGTAAATGTATTCATATATGTGTATGCGTACATCGTCGGGTGCATTTATATAGCATGTATGTCTACACATGTCTCTGTATGTACATATAGAGTCAACACCAAAACATGTCGACTTAGACAGCAAGGTATAACTATTGATAACCATATACCCCTGATAATCACAGGGTGTGGATAATAATATTCGAGGTTCGGGGGATACTTCTTTTCCGTCCTGGCAACTCGTATGTACGATGATACCTGAATGTGGTACAGCGAGTAGGAGTGTCTGGGCCTGCCGCACATTCGTGAATTGGGAAAGCGGATACGATGAGAATCCCATGGCCCTGCCACACGTTCGTAACTTGGGGAAGCTGCAATGGTGAGAATCCATAGCCCTGCCACACGGTCGTGAGTCAGGAAAACTAGAAGAGTGAGAATCCCAGATCCCTGCCCTGCCAAAAGTTCGTGGTAGTCTTGCTGATTAAAATCAGAGGACAGCAGATTTGATTCGTTTTCTCCCAGGCGATAATGAAGTTCGGCTTTGCCGCCCCTTTCCCCCGACCAACTCTGTCCTAGCCCGGGATAATCAACTCTCAGGGGTTAAGGCGGGGGGGTCCTTTTTATCCTGAGTGCCCCGTTATCTGACAGGGGAAGGGTCTGGATCGGGGGTGAGATGTGAGGGTGTGAGCTCGCTGGGGGGGGTGGCAAGAAGGCGGACCAAAACAGCAGGGCGACCGTACGGCAGGTCCGTGTCGTGTAGACCCCAGCTTTGGCTCCTGACCCCGCGGGGATCGTTCAATAATGAACGATCGACCGTCTCCGAAACGTCTGATCAATCAACGTCGACCGATCCTAAGTCGGCGTCGGCGTTCAGCGTTGAACGCCAGCGGCGGGGTCGCCGCCGGTCCACACGACGCGAACCTACCGTACATGCCAATAGGTTGATATATCTCGGGGGATAGCAAACCACCTGAATTGACAGACCTGGCAGGAACGACTCGTCACAATGCGCCACTGCAGCGACTGCTTCACGGATGTCTTCAGCTTTGGCAAATCGCCCATCCTCCTGAGCGCACATGGGTGATCTTAGGCGTAAGTAGCTGGCCACACGCTACATCCAGGAAACAAAACTCGCGGGAACATTTACGATGCAAACCCTTCGCCCTGCCACACGGACTGGAGTCCCAGGGACAAGAAGAAAGACCCCCCACGCGGACAGAAATCCCAGAACCTGTGAACGCTAACACCGAGAGGACGACAACTACTGCAAAAGTGCAGCCGCATCGCCCGACCTCGGAGGGACAACTGGATTGTCTGAACTTCATGCATGCTCGACTAGGTCGCTCGCAAATGCGAGAGACGCCCAACACGAAACTCCACAACAGCACCTGAAGGGGGGTGGCAGACGAAAGCCCACAACGCACCGCGCCATCGCGAGTGCAGTGAGAGGGGGGGGGAAGGGGGGCAGAACGTAACGACACGCCGCCCCGCACAGTGTACCCGCCGCTGCAACATCGCTCGTGCGCACCGTTCAAGTGTAGCAGAGTTCGGCCGTCGCGCCCGCGCGCACCACAGCACTCGGGGGGGCCCAAGGTGTAGCTGCTTGACCCAGAGTGCCCCTCACTCTTCGCGCCACTTTGAAACTCACTGGGGTCCTCTTGGCTTCGTGAAGCGCGCTCGCTCCAGAGGCCGTCTGGGCCTCTCGGCAAATGCGTACCGCCACAGCACGCGAGCGCCAGTATAATGGACCCTGCGAGTGCCACGACAGCGTGCGAGCACCGCCATGTGGCGATCGCAGCGAGCACAACAAACTCCTCGTGAACATATCAACAACCAGCGAAGACAATGACGCGCTTGTGAACAGCACTGTGGCGACAACCACTTGGAAAGCGGACATCGCAGGGGCATGCGCGGAGCAAACGTACCTTGAGATACCCTCCACTGCGGGCAGGTCGCCTCAGCGCGTCGTGGCATTCACGCACGATAGTCAAGTCTCAGCACGCGCCGTCCTCCTCCGTCTTGTCTGTCTCCGCCGCGTCTGCCTCCTGTTCTCGGGCTCGACCTCACGCTCAGCATCCGCGGAGTCGTGGTCGTCGTCCAAGCGCCTTGGGAACCGCTGGCTGCGGCTTCGGCGAACGCGCGCGGCCCTGCTGAGGAAGCAGCGACGCAGTCAGCCCGAGCCTGAACGTCCCTCAGATCCCCCAGTATGCGAACGCTCAGGAATCGGGGGAACGTGTCCGAAACTCTCGAGCCAAAATGGGCGACGGAAAGGGCAATCGCTACCAGCGATCCCACCCACACACCTTGGCAGCCCGTTCCTGCCAATACGATACTGCGAATCTCTTAACGCTTGGCTGCGCGGCTTCTTGAAACGCGCGCCCCGATGGTCGTCCGTGTCCTCGAACTGGTTGGAGGAAATGAATGCCGGCGCAACCGCGGAACCCACGTGGGCTGCGCGCGCCCAGTGCCGGGCCAGCACGCCATCGGCGCGGCCTAGGGAGCCGCCGAATGACGGAGGAACGTGGAGAGCTGAGGCAGTGTTGTGAGGGGGCGCGCTCGATGATGTGGCCGAGACGAAGCCGATGTGGCGCGGCGTGGAAGAATGTGAACAACTCGTGGGTGGCATGCTGCCGGCTCTCTTCGCCAAGGGGGCCGGACTGCGAAACCGAGTAGAAAAGAAGGTTTGAATGCCCATCAGTTGGCCGCTGATGGGCATAATTCATGGATCTCGCGGGTGTTCTAAACTCCCCGCCCAACTGTAGAATGATGGCCGCTCATTGCTGCGCCGTGCCCATACCATCTTGTCGGCCCTTGCGGAACGACGCCAATCGACGCTAGATCGACATTAGTAGACGATGGTCGATGCAACATTGGCGCTACCTCATGGATCACCAGACGCCGATTGATGTGAGCCGACGCCGAAGACGGAACAAGGACGGTCTGCAATAGACTCCCAAGATTTGCCACCAGAAAAATGACCACGGAGCTTCCTCCACCCAAGAGGCCCCCAACAGGGCCAAGGAGGCCCCCAAGAGTTGGGGGGCGGAAAGATACGGATACGTGTTGTCCCTGGACCTCTCTTGGGGTGCGTTCTGACCAGAATTTCGAGGCAAATCCAGCGGTGACAACGAGGATTCCCCAGGAGGGCCAGGAAAGGCCGAAAACGACGGGGGACAACACGTATCCGTATCTTTTTCTCCCCCGAAAGAGGTCTACGAGGGGCTTCGCAATGGTACGACGTGCGCCGCACTCTCCGTCGACAGCGCACTGGGAGGGAGGAGGGAGGGAGGAGGAGGAGGGAGGGAGGGAGGGAGGGAGGGAGGGAGGGAGGGAGGAGGGAGGGAGGGAGGGAGGGAGGGGAGGAGGAGGAGGGAGGGAGGGAGGAGGGAGGGAGGGAGGGAGGGAGGCGGCGGCGCGGGCGGCAGCGCGGTCGGCGGCCGGCGCGCGGGCGCCGCTGGCCGGCCCAGCTGGCCCAGCGAGACGAGCTCGGGGTCCTGGGCGGGGAGGGCAGCCGGGATGCAGCTGTTTCGTGTACCTCTATATCTATACGGTAGGTTCACGCGGCGTTTGCGCTCCGGCGACGCCGGCGAAGGCGTTCAAGGTTGAATTCCGCGACGCGGCAGCACCGATGGACACGGTAACGCCATTAGACCAGACGGAATTCAACCTTGAACGATCGGGGCCGCGATCGATTCAAGGTTGAACGATCGACGCGGTGTCAAAAACCCTTGTGCGCGCCAACGCCGCACGAACCTACCGTAGATATGTAAAGATGCACGCATATACTAGGCGACGAGCCCAGGGGGGAAATGAGAAGGAGAAGGCCTTCTCAGAAGGCCGCGGGGCTTCTATTAGAAGTCCGGGGGGCTTCTGAGACGTTTCCTTGGCCTATTTCGAATGCAGACAGAACTTCTCAGAAGCCTTCGCAGAAGTCCAGAAACTTCTCAGAAGCCTCGGAAGTCCCGCCCCTTCTCATTTCCCCCCCGCGCCCGCCGCCGATATACGCACACACACATATACATATATATAAATATATTTATATATACACACATCAGCGATGAACCATGTTAAGCCTGGGCAGGGAGAGGCTGGCCAATCACCTGAGCGTTTCGAAACATTTTCGAGTTTGGCAAAGTCCCCCGTATGCCTGCGCGCACCAATACTGCGTACCCCTTTCGGACCTGACCAACCGTCAGGATCAGGTTATCTGGGGGGAAATGGGGGGGAGGCGGGCGGGCCCGATAATCCGGGTTTATCGCCGGACCCTTCGCCCAAACTGTGAAGGTGTGCGGGCGATGAACACTAGATTGAAACATCGGGACGGTCTTTGAATGTGCGCAGGCCCCCTAGCCTTCTGATCCGTGTCTGGGATTCGCAAGGTCATCGCAACATAACATACAGCAACCTGGCATGCCTATCGCCGCGTGGTAACAATGGTATATAATCGACCACCCATCGGGTGATAAAGAAGTGAGGAATGAGGAAATTGCAACTCGAGTTTAATTCCGATTGCAATTGCAATTGGAATTGCATTTGCATGTCGATGTGCATTTCCCAGGGGACATCCACGGGACAACAACAGGACAACTCGCGGGACAACAACGGGGTCACCCACGGGGCAACGCACCAAACAACCACGGAACAACCCACGGGACACCCTGCGGGACAACGTGCGGAGCATGCACGAGACAACACCCAACTCAACCATGGCATAACAACCTACGGGACAACGTACGGGACACGCACGGGACAATCAACAGGACAACCGCAGGACAACCCACGAGACAACCACGGGACATTCGGAGATGGCCCACGGGACAACCCCGCGGGCCCCCGCGAGACAAGGGAGCGAAACAATGTCAAATCTAACCCACGCAAATATCGACACAACATCTCCCTCGCGCAGCTTCGCCTCGTCCGCGCGCGCGGCACAGACCGGAACACAAACAACTTTCCCAGTTTGATGTGCTGCGATCTGACCCCCCTTCCAATCGGACAGACTGCGAGAACCACAAAGCATGACACATCATTGATGATTTCATGTCAAGCTTGTGCACCTGGGACCAACGAAGAATATTAGAACACTTTGTGGACCTGCATAGCGTTCAGCATGCCTGCTTATGAAGGAACCACCGACACGAAATCTTGGGAGGCAACTCCTGGCAGGTCTTCGTAAGAACGCTTAGATCGATTACCTTGAAAAATAACGAGGTCACACGACTGGAATAGCCCAGACTACGCCCTGGATTAAGCTGCACAAGCGGGATTCGGTCAGATTCAGCAGGACGAAACAGACGTATGAAGTATTGAGCTCCGCCGCCAACGGTGGGGCCCATCGCCGATCAAACAAATCCGAGCGAAGCTCCGAAAGCTTGCGTTCATACCGTTTTTGCTTTTTCGAATGAATGTGCTCGAGTTGGGCTCTCACTAGTGCGTGCCCGCAAGAAAGGAGACGACGAGCATGCACGGGCTTCCAGATTCCCGCACTCCGAGGGCCAAATGTCCGAGCGAGACAGGCAGAACAAGAGCGGCTACATGAGGAACCGCTTGTTGGCACGCCCGAAATGAGTAGGGAGAACACGGGTACGGTGCCCAGCAAATTGTTGGGCAAGCGAATTTGCGTCTCAAACGAACAGCGCCCGGCGACACTGGCAGCGAGTACTGTTCAAGTGGACTGCAACTGCTGTCAATCTTCGTCCGAGACCTCTCCCAAAGGGCGTTCTGACCAGAGCGGCGTGCGTCACGGGCAGCTGGATGCAGAAGGGCTCAGGGGCGGAGAGCAGGCGAAACCAGGGAATGCGAGCGAAGCGCAGACGTGCAAGGGAACTCGTCAAGGGGTAGGCGTCGGTGGAACGATGCTGAACCGCGGACGTCGACTGCAGCTTGCGGCCAGCGTGAGCCAGCCAGTGGCGTTTGCCCCTGGCAGTGCGCGGCGGGCGGGGCCTCGCACGCACCGCCGGAGGCCAGGCAGGTGCTGTCAGCCGCCGCGCTGGCGGCGGCCGCTCCTGCCTGAGGCGCACGCTCGCGCGCAGGGCGGGAGGGGGATGCCGAGAGCCACGGGTTCGAACTGCCCTTCTTGCGTGAGAGACGATCAAGTTCGGGTCCTACGCGAGTTGGCACAGCGACCTTACGCGGTGGGCTACGCGGGCCGCCAGCGCGGCACGCTTCCCTGGAAAGGAGGGCGTCAGCGCGCGACCTTACGCGAGCAGATTACGCGCCCTTGTCGGCGAAGACGACCCCGTGTTCTTCCGTCGCTCACGAAGCGACATCCGAACCCTGCCCCCAGCAACCATCGATTCTCCTGAATTGATGGGAGGCGTGGGGTAGTGTTTTCGGCTTTCGTAACGCGTTCGACGGATTCTGAAATCTGCCCCCGCCGCCTGCCGAGTTGCCTGAACCGTTGATCGGCGAGGGTAAGGTGCGGATTTCGCCGCCGATTCCTAGCAGGCGCTGCGCCCTTACAACAGTTCGCGGGTAGGAATTGCGGCTTCGGGTTGCGCACAGGACACACACACACACAGCAGATCTCCGACGGTATGATTTGCGTCACAACGTTTTTGTTGCCATACATAGAAAAATACATACACAATCATTTCGGCCAGGGGGCTTGGAAGCGGGCATCAACACCAACGCCGGGGTATGCCTGCACCAGGGGGAGATGACCCTGTCTTTCGATGCTGGTCACCTTGGAAGCCCGAATATTACCACCATCACCGAGATCGGGATCATCTTCCCTCGGTGGAGATATACCGCCAATGTTGGTGTTGGTGCCAACCTCTAGGTCTCCGAAGAAAATCGATCCCTTGACCTCTCCCAAGGTCCATCTGGTGCAGATTTTCACCCCAGATCGGTTTTTGACGTTCCAGGGGCCCGAAAACGGCCCCCGGAGGCAGAAAAAGGCAAATAATAAAAAAACTGACCGAACCCAGCACCTCGAACCTCGCCTTCCTTCCTGCTTGCTGGAACCAATGGTGTTGGAGCCAACCTCCAGGCATCCTTTCGGGCGTGGCCTCACCGACCCCTGGCAAACCATCTCCTTCCATGACGTCAGCCTCGCCTTTCAAGCTTCTCTCTGGCCGCATACACGCGTCTTGGGGCGAGGCGTCACGGAAGGGGATGATTAACTAGGGGTCGATTAGGCCACCCCTGGTCCTTCTCAACATCCAGAGCGTCCGATATCTCCGAGAAACGGGCCGGGCGAAAGGGGGGGATAGCAAAGGGGGGTTTGAGAATCAGCTCACGTAGCTGATTTTCCTGGCGCCTCGGCGCCGGAGGCGGCTATGTATCGAGGAATGGGTCCCTCGGTGGGGCCGAAACCAGCTGCATGCAGCAGATTTCGTAACCCCCCTTTTCCCAATCCCCCACTTTCGTCTGGCCCGAGAGAAGTACTCCCCAAGGCCTCCAGACTGCCCCCAAAGCCTGCCCGCGGGGGGGGGTCTCCGAGGACGGCCCGAGGAGGCCCCGCAGGCCCACAGCCTGGGAAGCCGCTGCTATTCCCAACAATGCTCCCATGAGTACTCAGGGATTCTCGAGGAGCATGGCTCAGAATACGTTGTGGCCATAAGTCCTTCTCATCCTCCTCCTCCTCCTCGCCCTCCTCCTCCTCCCTCTGCGCCTTGACCCAAGACCCGAGCGCGGAGGCGGGATGGGTCAAAGACCCCTAGATTGCATGACGCAATCGGAGTTGTGATACCTCCTCCCCCTTCTCCTCCTCCTCCCCCTCCTCCTCCTCCTCCTCCTCCTCCTCCTCCTCCTCCTCCTCCTCCTCCTCCTCCTCCTCCCTGCTCCTCCTCCTCCCTCTGCGCCTTGACGCAATCGGAGTTACGATACCTCCCTGCAGTGGTCCCATTCTGGGACCTCCGCCGGTGCAACACGCTCCGACTTCTCAAGGGCGGACCGTACTCTCTCGGTGCCGCGCTCGGAGGGATACCGCCCTCTTGACGGCCCATGAGGGGTCACATTGGCGTTAGGTCGGGCCCGACCCCCTAAAGGGGGATGTTGGGCGAAAAATAAAAAATACCACAAACATGCACAGAAAATGCCCAGAAATGGTCAAAACATCGTCCCCCGACTTAACACTAGAGGGAATCGGCTCGGATGGAGAGGGAACGTCGACCTAGAATCGGCGATGCACCGCCGATCGCTCGGCGATCGGCCCCCGATGATGAAACCGCTCGTTCCGGGGCGGGGTGGGTTTATCAAGCCCCTTGTCGGACATGAATGGGCGTCTGGGGGTCGATGCATGCCCCATGAGCCCATCCTCCCGTAACGTTGCCCCTGAAACCACGCGAAAGCCAGGCAGCGTCGGTCAATCATCGTCGGCGCCAAGCACAAGAGCCGCCGAAGGATCATTCCGCGAGTGCAGGAGAACAAAAGCCAGCATGAGCATACACTTTCACAGGGCCACGCGGACATCCTGAACCTGAGCTGACCCCCCCCCCCCTTCTGGGCGCGCGGAGTGCGCCAAGGGCGGCGCTGGAGGCGCCGCCGGGGGGGGCCCAGCGCTGATCTGAGAAATCCGCGCGGAACTCCGAAGGCTTACGTTCGTGCCGTTTTGTGTGATCTTCGAGCAAGAGGGCGAGTTCAGACAACAGCAGCTCAAACCCGGTCCCCCAACCCCTCCCTGGGTCCAAACGCATAGCCTTTCCGAGCTGGGTCCAGCAGTGGTGACGAGGCGGCCCTCCGAAAGGCAGCTTAGATCCCCGCGGGGGTTGCTACGAGGGTATGGGGAGTGGCAGTGGATGCTAAGCTGTGTTGTGTCTGGACAAATCTAGCTTGTACATGGGTGTGGCTCAGAGGGTACAGATCCGGGCGAAGTGGGCGGAGCCCACCCAGCAGAGAGACCTAACCAACCCACACCAAGTGTGGCACTTGTAGCCCGCTCATACGCTGGGCTCGACCAGCTATAACCCCACCTTGGCATCCACTTCTAACCCCTTATGCCCTCAGCCCCCCCCGCAATGATCCAAGAAGTACGGTTGCACCAACTCGCCATCCTCTGAAGAAGAGCAACGGCCCGGCCGAGGGGGGGGTCAGGTAAGCGCGAATCTGAGGTGCCGGCTACACGCAAGAGCGACTCTAGGCAAGAATGACCCTTGGTGCCTGAGTTTCGAGGCCTATATTCTGCTCAATCAAATCGAATGTTTTTACTGTGAAAGATGTTTTTTCCTTGCATGTGGAGGCCAAACCCGAACGCGCAAGTCGATGCTATCGCATCGTGTTCAGTCATCTGGGACCCCGAGTCCTTCCAGATGGAGTCGGCGACGTCCGCGTGGAGAAGATCGGGCTCCGCAGCGAGCCACACCGTCGATGCACCGGCGATGCGGAGCGATCCTTCGACCTCATCTACTTGGACCCCAGTGAGGAGGCCCAGACCACTGTGCTCGCGTTGCTCACTGAGGGGGTGAAGAATGGGGGGTGGGGGGGGAACGTGCACCTCTCGTGCCACGCTTGGGACCCAGGGGGGCCCCATTTTAGGGCGAGAAAGGTGTACCCCAGATTTCGTAGTAAAGGGAGGGGGGTCTCATTTCGGGGGGGGTCTCTTCCAGGCTATCTTGGAGGGCCTGGTGGGTCTGGGGACGGTGTTTTGGAGGGTTCTCCCACGGGGGAGGTCTGAAATGGCTTGTCATTGGAGGGTCCAGACCCCCTCCCTTTTATTACGAAATCTGGAGTACCCATTTCGGGCGTCCAGACCCATTTTTTCCGTGCCCATTTCGGGCGTCCAGACCCGTAGGGCCCTCGGGCCCGCGGGCCCCGACGATGCATCGGCGATGCATCGGCGATGTATCGGCGATGCATCGGCGATGCTTCGTCGACGTCCCCGATGCATCGCCGACGTCGCCGTGAAGCAACTCGGGCTCCACATCGAGACGCATCGCCAATGCATCGGCAGTGCGGAGCGATCCTCCGACCCCATCTACTCCGACCCCATCTAGAAGGCCTAGATTGATGGACGCCCCCCTACGCAGAGGTCGCTCCCGCGAACGGCCCCTCTTGCGTGCGGCCGCACGCGGGCGGGAGGGCGCCCCCGCGGCTGGCGCAGGGGGGGGGGGGCCCGCGCGCCGCCCCTGCGAGCAGCAGAACCCTCGCGGGCGGCCTGCCGGCGAGACGCCGGGGCCCTTCTTGCCCAGCTTGTCTATCCCCCCTTCCACAACCCCTCTTCATTCTCCGTTCTCTTCATAATCCTCCCTCCTCTTCTTCTCCATTCTCCCTTCTTTCTCCATTCTCCATTCTCCCTCTTCATCCTCCCTTCTTTCCCGCCTCCCTCCTCTCCACTCTCTTCATAATCCTCTTCGTCCAATGCGTCCTCGGGGCCTTTCCCTGTCGCCTCCGTCTTTCCCCCTGCTACTGCCTCCTTCGCCTTCCCCATCTCCTCCTCTTCCTCCTCCTCCTCCTCCTCTGCCTCCTCCTCTGCCTTCCATCCTTCCCCCCACTCCCACATCGCCGTGCTACATTGGGCTGGCCAGGAGGCTACTCGCTCTCCGACAGGGAGCTCGGGGCCCTCCGAACTTGCTTCTGGACCAGACAAACCACATAGGTCGGATCCTATCCGTCTCGTGGTGGCCCATTTTGTCTGTCTGGGGGGGCCGTCTCTGAGGCCCTGTGTTGGGCAAGTAGTGGTGTCCTCTTGGGGGCCTCCCGAAGGGCTGTTGGTAACCTCTCTGGGAGACTCTCAAGAACGCCTGAGGCATTCTTGGAGCCACATCTGATGCCTCTTTGGAGGCCCTCTGGGGCCGTTCAGGCGCTCTCTTATGCAGTCTTTGGGCTCGATGGGCCCCTTCCATAGGCTCCCTGAGGCCGCCTTGGGACGGTGTTGGCCAGTTTGGGGCCCTCTTAGGATCTTCAAAGGGGCGACTTCGGGGCCTCTGGAGCGCCGCAGAAGCTATCTGCAGTAGGAAGATCTGACGGCCAAAACGCAAGGAACATCACTGTCATTTGGTGTTTGGCAAGATTTGGCTGTCTGGGGCGTCCTGGGACCATCTGGGAGCGGCCGCGACCATCCTAGGTGGTCTGGGCCAACTATGGCACCATCCCGGCAGCCCCCTCAGGCCCGAAGGCCCCCAAGGGCTCCGGAATCCCTGGGGAGACAAAGGGGGGATTGCGAGTGACTGGCCATCGCTCGGACGTCCATTCCCTGTGCTTTTTTCGGTTTCGTGCGTGGCTTTTTCGCCGAATGATCAAGGATGCTCCTCGATGGTCCTCGCCGAAGGAAGAATGCACACGTCCGAGCGATGCCAAGGTGAGGGACCCGTGGAAAGCAGGCCGCCCCAGGGCCGGGAACCGGCCGCCTGCCACAATGTGCTGCACGGCAGGCTCTTGCCGTGACGGCATCGGCGCTGGTGTCCGACACCGCGCGGGCCGGCGACGCCTGGAGCGAGCGCGGCTCTCCAAGAGCGGCGCACAGCGTGCGGCGTCGGCCAGCTCCAATGAAGGGGCCCCAGGACACACAAATAAATACACACAAATAAAAAGATTCCCCATATTTTCCCATATTTTCTGGGTTTCTGTCTTCCCGCCCACTTCCCATATTTTCCCATATTTTCTGGGAAATCGAGGATTAATTGTGTCTGTGTGTTTCTTTTCCTCCTGATCCAAGACACCGGCGGCGTTCCACCTGGAAGGCCCACGCTGGGCCCGCCGCCGCGTCGACACGGCCCGGACCAGCCGTACGCCCAGCCCGCTCACCATCTTGGGCGCCCGAGTTATCCGGGGTAACTCGGGTCCGGGGTAACTCGGGTTTGGATTCCCGAAAAAGGAACCCGAGTTAGCCCTGACCCGAGTTACCCCTGATGATGTGGGGCTCTGGACGCCCGAGTTATCCGGGGTAACTCGGGTCCGGGGTAACTCGGGTTTGGATTCCCGAAAAACGAACCCGAGTTATCCCTGACCCGAGTTACCCCTGATGACTCGGGGCTCTGACCATCTGTCCCCGGGTGACTCCCGGGGCCCACCCGGTGGCAGCTGCGCGTGTCCCTTCTGTGGGGACTCACACGGCGTGCCACCGCTCAGACGTCCGGCCCCCGTGCATGCGTCTGCTTCTCGTGCGTGTGCTTCTGCGCAGGATGATCCCGGACGCTCCCCGATGGTCACCACTCCTGTGGCGCTGGCCTCGCCGAGCTGAGATGCACGCCCGAGCGGTGCAGAGATGGGACCATCCCGTACGATCTTTGTGTGCCCTCGCGAAGCGACGCTGCTCGACGCGACGTCGACGCTGCTCGAGCCTCGCCGACGCTGATTCGGCGCTATCTCATCCATTGTCAGCTGCTGGTCGCACTACTGCATTCGAAAAACCGAATTGCAAAGGTACACCCTGCGAAATGCTTAAGAAATCATGGGTTAAGAAATTCATCGTCTCGGAACTTGAAGAAAAACCCAACATTCCCATTCAAATCTTAGGATTTACATTGAAACCTTAAGAATAATCGAGACTCTGGCCGAAAACTTAGGTTTTCTTAAGCATCGCCTAAGGTGTACTGCATTCGAAAAACCGAATTGCAAAGGTATGCAAGGCTCCCAAGATTTGCCACCGAACCCATGGGCGATTGATCGTCCGGGATCGCAGCACGCGGGTCCGCAGAGGCCTGCAACGGGCCTCCCGAGGCGGCACAGTGCGAAGTACCTCCTCGATCGGTGGGGTCGCGCCGGCACGACGCGACCCTGCCGCACCTGGAAGGCGAGAAGGGACCGATGCTACTAGGAGGAGGAGGAGGAGGAGGAGGAGGAGGAGGAGGAGGAGGAGGAGGAGGAGGAGCTCTCCCAGGGGGACCCCTGGCCATAATGTCAAGGGGAGCGTCGCCGTGGCGACGAGGGCCTCCAAGGACGCGGGCGAAAACGAGGGAAGGCCGGCAGTATCGGCATACCTGGAGGCCTCCGAAGTGCGGTTCGAATAGTGGGGTCGGAGGATCGCGCCGCATCGGCGATGCATCGGCGATGCATCGACACCGTCGGCGTAGAGAAAATCGAGATCCACATCGAGCACATCGAGCCGTATCGCTGATGCATCGGCGATGCGGCGCGATCTTCCGACCCCGTCGGCTCGGACCCCACCTTGGAAGCCTTGAGCCAAGAGTATCGGCATACCCTTTCCTCCCGGGGTCGGCACGACGCAAACCATCCGCACTGCACGAGGGACCAGGTTTATTCGCCTTCTAATGGGTGTCAGGCTTCTGGGTTGAATGGTCAACTCTCTCGTGAAACTCTTTGGGAGGATAGGGGTGAAGAGGTGGGTGTTCGGATGGGTGAAAGCATGGGTGCTTCTAAGATGCCTTCCCCCCTCCCACTACCCCCCTCTGCGCGGCTGACGGCCCTCTCCGGGCCAGGGGGCCGCCGATAGTACTCAAAACGAACATCCGGCCCTGGGTCGGGGATCTACTGA